AAACTTGGCACTTCTCAATATTTCTATCAACACAAAACCAGGCGTGAAGATAGAATATATAGAACCACTACTTCTGGTACCTCTCCCACAACGGGTCTAAATTTTAAATAATTATATCTATCATAAAGTCCAAAAAAACATTAGGCAAAACCGGCAAATACAATTTAGCTTGTGTTTATGGAAATTTGAACCAAAAGACATGTGATACGATCAAAACTGAATAGAAATTAGTTTTCCTCTTTTTCAGAAAATGTTGATAGTTGAGCCGCTTCACAAATGGTGAAACGCATCGCATACTGGTTGGTGCGAGGGATTTCGTTAGATTACAATTTTCAATGCTATCTCCTTAGGTCATTATAAGCTCAACTTGAAAAAGAACCAGTAAGGAAAGCTCAAAAGTCGGGCAGGGCCGACTATATGATACCCTACACCACTATGCATATTTAGTAGAGCTCTCGTAAAAAGGTTTATACAGGGCATTTCAGAGCTCTATGAGATATTTGGTACAAAATCAAAATCTATCTAATTCTATCGTGCATTTTACGAACTATAGCTATCTCTGAACCGGGTTTCTCCAAATTTTACGTATTATCTTCTAGACTGGTGATTTGGGCTGATATTGACCATTTAGTGCACATTTAACCCGAAATCGGATGAAGATATATATGAGAGCTATATCCAAATCTGAACCGATTTCGATAAAATTTAAAACAGCTATTCCTGTGCTCCATCTAATACCTGGTACCAAATATCACGGTTGTGGAGTGAATATTACGAATGTATGGGACTAAATCGGATGAAACATATATATGGTTGCTATATCTATATCTGAACCGATTTTCACTAAATTTGATATACTTGCTTCTAGGCTGAATTTGGTCCGATGTACTAAAATTCAGTTCATTTGGACTTATATCGGCCATTTGGTGCACAATTAACCCGAAATCGGATGAAGATATATATGGGAGCTATATCCAAATCTGAACCGATTTCGATAAAATTACAAACAGCTATTTCTGGGCTGTATCTTATATCTGGTACCAAATATCATTCTTGTGGAGTGCATATTACGAATGTGAGAGGCTTAAACACCAAATCGGATGAAAGATATATATGGGAGCTATAGCTATATCTAAACCGATTTTCTCCAAATTTGATATACTTGCTTCTAGGCCGAACTCGGTTGGGTGTGCCAAAATTCAGGTAATTTGGACTGATAGTGGACATTTGGTGCACATTTAACCCGAAATCGGATGAATATATATATGGGAGCTATAGCTGTTTCTGAACCGATTTCCTCCAAATTTGTTGTATTTGCTTTAAGGCTAATCTCGGTCACATGTGCCAAAATTCGGGCCATTTGGGCTGATATTGGCCATTTGGTGCACATTTAACCCGAAATCGGATGAAGATATATATGGGAGCTATATCTAAATTTGATCCAATTCTCACCAATTTCAATAGGGTTCGTCCTTGGGCCAAAAAAATATTGTTTGGAAAATTTCATCTCAATCGGATAATAAATGCGACCTGCATTTTGTTCACAAGAATACATGGACAGACGGACGGACGGACGGACGGACGGACGGACAGACGGACTGACATGCATAAATCGACTCAGAAAGTGATTCTATGAAGGTTCTCAAAAGTAACTATGGGTCTATCCCGTTTCCTTCTCCATGTTACAAACAAATGCACAAAGACATAATACCCTTACCACTATGTGGTGTAGGGTATAAAAATATCAATGTCTTTTGTTTGAATGCATATACTTTATACATTATGCTTTTCATTCCTGATATTATATATATATATATATATATATATATATATATATATATATATATATATATATATATATATATATATATATATATATATATATATATATATATATATATATATATATATAAATAAATATATATATTATCTTATTATTGTTGTTTTGAAAGTGATTTGAATAGAACAATGTACGAATGTGGGTGTTAGGTCGGGAATTTGTGCGTAGAATTAAGTAGCTATCCAAGTCCAGTGGAAATGCCACATGATAATATCAAGGCACTTGTAAAAATTTTATTCTCCTTTAATATATTTATAACTTCAGCCACATGGCTAAAGAGGGTATATAACGGTTTAAGAACCTATGTCTCTTTGGACAAAATCCGTTTTAGGACATTTAGAGTCCATCTAGTGCCTCCGTCTGTCTGGCTGCCTGTCTGGCTGATGCGCACGATAAATCTCGACGAGAGTATCCAATTTGGGCCAAACATGGTACATCGTAATGTTATTATCAAACTTCGATCGACTTTGGAGATGGGCAACATCGGTCCACTTCTTCTGTTACATCCCACACAAAAGGTCGAACATTTTCAAAAAATATTTTACTGCACACACATGGACTAAAATCATCAAAATACCGAAAATTGGGAGGTACAGTTATGTGGGGGCTATACGAAGACATGGACCTGCAAAAACACTTTTCTGTCTTAGATCGTAGTATCCATTACGGAATCGGAAACAATTCCGGTGAATAATGTCGCTAAAATCATCAAAGTACCGAATATAAGGGTACCTTATATGGGGGATATATCAAAACGTGGACCTACATGGCCCATTTTCAATACCAAAAGCTCTGCAGACATAATATACATTTGAGTAAAATTTTATCAACCTAATTAATTTCTTTCGGAAGATGTTGTGATTTCTCAGACGGACGGATATCGCTAAATAGACATAGAATTTTATGCTGATCAAAAATATAAATACTTTGTGGGGTCTAAAATATATATTTCGAGGTGTTACAAACGGAATGACAAACTTAATATACCCTCCATACTATGGTGGAGGGTATAAGAAATGTCATGTGATATTAGAAATCAATTTTGAGAAAAAATGTATTTCTGCGATCCCTTCCCATGTAAGTGTGATCACTGTGCACAAACTATTTTCAAGTCTTTGCCACATTTTGATGTGATAATGACTTCGGCAGTGCCAATGGATCTTTTGAATTAATTAACTTTTCGATCTTGAGTGCAGCAATATTTTCAGACACCGACTTCGCAACCCTGTGTTTAGCATTAACTTTTCTGATAACTATTTTCACTTATTGCTTTAAACGTGTTCCTGGCTAACAGCCCACCGTTACGATTGCTCGTAATTTCAACAACATGTAGTTTCAACATCCTTTGCTTAGCTCCGTTAAGAACTAAAGTCATTTTACAGATCTGAATACGTATACATACTTCTAGTATACATGTATGTTAATTTTGAAAGATGTGCGGACGAGAGGAGTCGTTGTTAACTCATACCAATTGAAGTAATGTCACATGTTTCTAAAATCTAAAATGTGGGAATAGGTGAAAAAATAACGGTTAATAGGGTCCCAGTTCCCCCATGGAAGATAAATGAATGTACATACATACATACAGTGCTAACTGTACAAGAATCAAATCAATTGTTATGCATTTTTATAATGTTAGATATACCCAAAATGTGTCGGATCCATGGTACAATGAAGAGAAGGTAGGTCAACTTTGAAAAAATTGCAAGTATAGAGGTCTACCTGTTTGGCTGTAATGTCAGAACTACTATCAAAACAATAAAAAAGCAAACAACTTGTTGCATTGATTTTGAATAAATAATTTAAAACCGCGAAAACTGAATGAATGGTCAAAATTTCTTTTCAATATCATGTTCTATATATCTTTTATGGTTTATTTCGCGACAAAAACTGTAAATTTTGTCGATGCATTCGTTGCAATAAGCATTTTGAAAACACCCGAATTTGAATATTTTCTGAACATTTTTTTATTATTGAAAAAAAAAATACACAGACATAGGCAAATGAAGTTGACATATTAAGCCAGAAAAATAAAAAAAATTGAAATCATATGGTAGTTCTGCCCTACCTTGCATTCATTGTACCATGGTCGGATCGAAGTAATGATACCCCAATAAGAGAATGTAACTATTTTATCTCTTTTGAATTTCGTTAAACCTTTTACAGAGTTGCAGTACTGGGCTTTGGGTTGTAATACAGAAAAACTCTATAAGACGTGAAAAAAAAACTTTTTGTCGCATTACTTGTGCGGCTCATTATTTCTAAACTAAGTTGAAAAATTATAGTCCACACTAAATGTACTATAAACTGTAATAGTATTATACATATGGTTGTTCCATCACTATCATCATTACTACTACCCACATAAGTATATGTGGATACACATGTACGCATATCCCCCTATCGGCGATGGGTGAAAGCATGTCGTTGACGTTGATGACAAAATTGCACAGCCCATCGAGTTTGAGTAGATTACACTCAGTTCCCAAAACGTTTGCGGGTTGTCATCCAAAGTAATACGTACTTGTGTTGGAAGGTTGGTAAACTTCAGCGTCAATGACAACACCACCGCACATGCATTTGCACAAACACCCACACACAGTCACACATTATGCCCAGTTCTAAAACAACTCCCCTGTCTCGTAAGGACACTTGGTTCCTGCATGCGGGTGTGTGATTGTTTGCAATTGCACATTCTCTTATCTGTCACAAATTTTCCATTTAGGATTTGCATCATCATTAATTTTGCTTGCGGATCATCGCGATAAGGAACAACCTTCTTCGCTTTTACGCCCCTTATTCTTTTGATGCTGGTGCTGCTGCTGCTTCAGTGATGACAGGAAATCTATGCAAACACCAGACAAGGGAAGCTATGCATTTAGACAGCCATCCATTCATGACGACGGCGACGATGATGATGTCATTAGGGAAGCAGCTGATGGAAGTGAATGCCGTTGCCATGTGACAAAACGATGATTATCAGTTAAAAAAAAGTCACGTTAAATTTTTTAATGTATAAGCAATTATATTGTCAAAGATGTTTGAAACCCAAACCTTGTAGCCTGCATTACTTTGCAGAATGGGCTGGAAAAACATGAAGGGGACAAGGAAGAATCTGTGTGCCCCCATTGCAATACTTCTAATTGCCAATAATACTTACCCGTTAAAGTTAGGATGAACGCAACAACAATGCATAGAAAACATCTGGTCATTATGGGGCTGTGAAGCGAGAGGATTACGTTCCTCCCCGCTCTGTGGCGTCCTCTATATTTGTCCAGGAATTGCCTATCGTTTGTTCGACATCTTTCTTGGTGTCCATTCTTTTCCTGAACTCTCCACATGCTTTGGGTAATTTCAACTATTTTGGGCGCTAATGGGCCGAAATTGTCAAACCTGCATATTTTGTTAAAACTTCGCAGTCTGAAAAGAAAAACAATTAGAATTAAAAACAAATTTAGAATTAAAAACATAGTTTCAAATATATCGCGACTTAAAGTTGAAAAATGGTTGATTTTTAAATGTTCTCCCGTTTTCTGCGAAAGTTTGTCAATAATAAAAAAACTAATTTATCATAAGCAAATTGTTTTGTATTTTGTCAATTTTATAGTTAATAGGTTTGTTCGGGTACTTTCCAATAATATTTGGCCAGTAATTGTTGCTAAAAGTAAAATACAACATTCAGTAACAAAATTATTATTTTACTTTCAAATATTTTTCTACAAAAACTATAAAACCGGCTTGAAGCCACCTGTTGGAACTTACAAAATCTAACCTTACCTGTATCTTTTTCATTTTCATTGTAGGTAAGTAAAACTTTCTTTTTATACCCTATGCTACACTCTAGTCAGAATATTATATCTTTGTGCATTTGTTTGATGATCTGCATAAAAACACATTCTGAGTCGATTTATGTATGTACGTCTGCCATGTATTTTTGTAAACTAAGTACAGGTCGGATTTATTGGCCGATCAAGATGAAACTTTGCACAAAACATTTTTTTGATCCAAAGAAGAACCCTATTGAAATTGGAGATAATAGCTGAAATATAGCTGTTAATATAGCTCCCATATATATATTCGCCCGATTTGCCTCTTATTGTACACCAAATGTGTAATATCAGCCCAAATAACATGGAATTTGTGTGTGATAAATTTGGTGGAAAACAGTTCAGATATATCTATAGCTCCCATATCTATTCTTCATCCGATTTCATAAATGTAAATGTCCAAAGCCGCAATATGCACTCCACAGCAACTATATTCGGAATAATATTAAATGCAGCTCAGAAACACTTTTGCCAAATTTTATCGAGATCAGCTCCGATTTGGATATAGCTTCCATATATTTAAATTTACTTTATTGTGCACCAAATGGTAAATATGAGCTTGAATTGAATGGATCTAGGCACATGCGAACGACTTTGGTCTGGAAGAAAGTGTATGATATTTGGCGAAAATCTGAAATTAAGAAAGTAAAGTCATTTCCATACATAGTATGGAGGATATATTAAGTTCGTCATTCCGTTTGTAACTCATCGAAATAATCATTTTAGACCCAACAAAGTATATATATTCTTGATCAGCGTAATATTCTAAGACGATTTAGCGCTGTCCGTCCGTCTGTTGCAATCACGCTACAGACTAAACGAATTAAGATAGAAAGCTAACATTTTGCCCAGTTCTCTCTTTTGTTTGCAGGCAGGTCAATTTCGAAGATGGATCGGTCCACGATATCGTATAGCCCCCATATAACGGTATCCCCGATATCCGGTATTTTGATGATTTTAGCCACATTTTTCAATAGAATTCTATGAAAATCCACACAAGGAGTTCTTTGTACTTTATCCCTTGACTGAGAATTATCTATGTAAGTTCACGATTTCGTATAGCCCCCATATAACGGTACTCCCCGATATTCGGTATTTTGATGATTTTGGCCACATTTTCTAATAGAATTGTCTGAAAATTCACACGAGGAGTTCTTTGTGGGAACTTTACCCCCTGAAAGAGAATTATCTATATAGGTCCACGATATAGTATAGCCCCCATATAACGCTCCCCCCGATATTCGGTATTTTGATGATTTTAGCCACATTTTTCGACGGAATTGTCCAAAATTCTACACAAGGGGTTTCTTGTGAGCACTTTACCCCTTGTGAGTACTCTATTCATTGAAAGAGAATTATCTATATAGGTCCACGATATCATAGAGTCCACATATAACAGTAACCCCTATATTCGGTATTCTGATTATTTTAGCCACATTTTTCAACGGAATTGTCTCAAATTCTACACAAAGGGTTCTTTTTGAACACTTTACCCCCTGACAGGGAGTTCTCTATAAAGGTCCATGATATCGTATATCCCCCATATAACGGTATCCCTCGATAATCGGCAGTTTGATGATTTAAGCAACATTTTTAAATGGAATTGTCTTAAATTCTACACAAGGAGTTATTTGTGAGCATGGTACAATGATATCAAGGTAGGGCTATGGTACCATATGATTTTAATTTTTTTATTTTCTTGGCTTAATATGTCATCTTTATTTGTTTATGTATGTGTTTTCTTTTCAATAACAAAAAAATTGTTTAGAAAATATTCAAATTCGGGTGTTTTCAAAATGTTTATTTGAACGTATCCATCGACAAAATCTAGAGTTTTTGTAGCGAAATAATCCTTTAGAGATATATAGTGCATGATCTTGAAAAGAAGTGTTGACCTTTTATTCAGTTATCGCGTTTTTCAATTATTTATTCAAAATAAATGCAACAAGTTGTTTGATTTTTTATTGTTTTGATACTAATTCTGACATTACAAGCCAAACAGGTAGACCTCTATACTTGCAATTTTTTCAAAGTTGACCTACCTTCTCTTCATTGTACCATGTTTGTGAGTACTTTATCCCCAGACATAGATTTGTCTATATAGGTCCACAATATCGTTTATCCCCCCCCCCCATATATCGGCAACTTCCGAGATTATAATGGATTTTATTTTTATTTTATTAAAATGTCCTAATTCGTTCCAAATGGTGGAGGGTATTAAAAGTTCGGCCCGGCCGAACTTACTGCTTTTGTACTTGTTTGTAATTTACCATGTTTCACTGTATAGAATACTTTATAAACAATTGTTTTGTAAATATATATTTTGACAATGAGATGTTGTCAAATGAATAATTTCGAAACAATTTTAATCATATGACTGCATGATTTTACCTTCTTAATTCTACCATGTAAACAGGTAAAAAACATTAAGTTCATTAAGTAGTCATTAAAAAAAGCATGTACTATTATATGGGGCCTATGGGAAAACGTAGACCTAAATAGAAGGAATCCCGATTACAAACTGTCGGTACTAAATTCAAAAAATGTTCGCTAAGAAGTTACAGTTATATGTGTGCTATATGATAACGTGGACCTAGATATTCAATGTTCTGTTACCGGAGCTAGAACCCTTTAACCATTACTACAAGTACCTTTTTTAGACAAATCCGTTGAAAATATGACAAATATCATCAAAATACCGAATATCGGGAGTTACCATTATATGGGGGCTATACGAAAACGTGGGCCGATACATAATTTCAATAATTTTCAATACCAACCACCCTACACACAATAAAAACCGTAGTGCCAAATTTCAAAGCTCTACATACATTTTTCCCATTCATTTGTAAATGTATCGAATAAAAGCATGTTGTGGTTTTTGGAGCAAATGTTTTTTCTGCCAGTAACATTTTTGGTATTCATAAGGTGTGCACTTTTTTTGGTGTAAAATTTTATGTCTGATCAATGTGGACATTTTTCGCGTCAAATAAAAATTTGAAATGCATTCGCAAATATAGTTGCATTTTTCAAAATGCAAAATGTCGTATATCTTATGAATATATATTCTTTAATTTCAGATTGAAAGTGAGGTAGGTTTTTTCACGATTCCTTGGAGTGCCGCAGAATTTGTACATACCTGCTGCTGACAGCTATACTGCAGCTCTGCATTTTGAATTTAATAATCCAAATTCCAAAAAATATACATTTTGGAAATTTAAACAATTTAATTAAATTATTTTGTTTTGCTTACATTTTTGGACACATAACTCTGACACTAGCATTGCTAATTGCTCTGTTCCAGAACCTGCAAAAAGCTACTGTCTTTTGAAATTTTTTTTCGGTATCAAATTTCAATGTTTTTTTGTTGAATTTCATTTGTTATAGTTTTACTTCTACCTTTTAATAATTCTATATTCTACCAGTAAAATACACACAAAAGTTGTAACTTTCCCTTGCATTTATGATATTTATAACAGAAAATAAAAAAGAAAACGCCAGAAAGAAGCGGATAACGTCGGAGTATGTTTACGATGGGGAATTTATGCATGCATTTTTTCGAATATTGAGAATTTATTGAGGTTGCCAAAAGCAACACAATTCCGAATGTGTGTAAATCTAACAATAAAAAACCATCAAAATACCAAATATCGGGAGGTACCGTTATATGGGGGCCATACCAAGTAGCTAGAACCCATTGAGACCAACAAATGCTTATTTTTAGACACACATTCACATTCTGAGTCGATTTATGCATGTCCGTCCGTGCGTCTGTCCATGCATTTTTGTAAACAAAGTACAGGTCGCATTTATTGACCGCTCCAGATGAAATTTTGCACAGATCATTTGTTTGGCCCAAGGACGAACCCTATTGAAATTGGAGATAATCGGTAAAAATTTAGATATAGCTCCCATATTTATCTTCGTCCGATTTGCCTTGAATGGAATTTTGCAGATACAACCAAAATAAGTATGCCGAATTTGATCGAAATCGGTTCAGATATAGCTATAGCTCCCATATATATTGTTCATCCGATTTGTTATTTTTGTCCACCGCCACCGTAATATGCACTATGCAACAACAATATTTGGGGAAATATATCAAATACAGCTCAGAAATACATTTGCTAAATTTTATCGAGATCGGTTCAGATTTGGATATAGCTCCCATATATAACATCGTCCGATTTACCTTTTATTGTGCACCAAACGTCTAATATTTGTCCAAATGGGATGGAATTTGGCACTTACGACCGAATTGAGTCTAGAAGCTAGTATGTCAAATTTGGAGAATATCGGTTCAGATATAGCTATAGCTCCCATATATACTGTTCATCCGATTTGTTATATTTGTTACCCACAGCCGTAATATGCACTCCGTAACAACGATATTCAGGGAAATATATCAAATACAGCTCAGAAATATTTTTGCCTAATTTTATCGAGATCGGTTCAGATTTGGATATTGCTCTCATATATATTTTTATCCGATTTTAAATTATTTGTGCACCAAACGGGCAACACAAGTCCGCATTTAAAAGAAACAAATGCTTCGGCATATATAGTCCTTTGAACTTTAATTTATAATTATAA